CCCCTACCCGCTCCTCTTTCCACCTCCCCGTCCCCCTCCTTCTTCTCTTCTCACTTCTCTCTTCCTCTCGTTAACCCCTCCTCTCTCTCTCTCTCTCTCATTCTCTCCCTCCCTCTCTTTCTCCCTCTCCCTCTCTCTCCTTCTCCTTCTCCCTCTTCTCCCCCTCTCCCTCCCCCTCCCCCACTCCCTCTTCCTCTCCCTCTCCCTCTACCTCCCCCTCTTTCTCCCTTTCCCTCTCCCTCTCTCTCTTCTCCTTCCCCACTTGCTCCTGACCCAAGAAGATGATGAGAGAAGGGATGAAGAAAAGAAGGTACTAATGAAGCTTAGGAAAAGGAGGAAGAGGAAGAAGAAAAAATGATGATGATAACGATGATAATGGTACAAATGAAGTAAAAATTACCTTGTTAGGCATAAATTAACAACAACAAAACAACAATAACAATGGTGATAATAATGATAACAAAGAATAAATAATACTACTATAATGATAATAAAAATAATCCTAAAAGCAGTAACGACAATAATAATGGTAATAATGACGAGAACAAATTTTTTTTTTTTTTTTTTTTTTTTAGGTGTATTGAAGTTACAGCTGCAATTTTTTTTTGTTAATGGGTGGACGTGTTTTATGATAAGAAGATTCGGTTCGGTTTGTTTGATGAGGAAAATCGGGTTAGGCTCCCCACCCCCTCCACTCCCCTACCCGCTCCTCTTTCTCACCTCCCCGTCCCCCTCCTTCTTCTCTTCTCTCTTCTCTCTTCCTCTCGTTAACCCCTCCTCTCTCTCTCTCTCTCATTCTCTCCCTCCCTCTCTTTCTCCCTCTCCCTCTAAATCCTTCTCCTTCTCCCTCTTCTCCTCCTCTCCCTCCCCCTCCCCCACTCCCTCTTCCTCTCCCTCTACCTCTACCTCCCCCTCTTCCTCCCTTTCCCTCTCCCTCTCCCTCACCCTCTCCCTCTCCCTTTCCCTCCCCCTCCCCCACTCCCTCTTCCTCTCCTTCTTCCTCTCCCTCTACCTCTCCCTCTTTCTCCCTTTCCCTCTCCCTCTCCCTCTCTCTCTTCTCCTTCCCCACTTGCTCCCGACCTAAGAAGATGATGAGAGAAGGGATAAAGAAAAGAAGGTACTAATGAAGCTTAGGAAAAGGAGGAAGAGGAAGAAGAAAAAATGATGATGATAACGATGATAATGATACAAATGAAGTAAAAATGAACTTGTTAGGCATAAATTAACAACAACAAAACAACAATAACAATGATGATAATAATGATAACAAAGAATAACTAATACTACTATAATGATAATAAAAATAATCCTAACAGCAGTAACGACAATAATAATGGTAATAATGACGAGAACAAAGATAGTAAAAGAAGAACCAGACAGAAAAACAAAACAAAAAGAAGAAGGAGGAGAAGAAGAAGAAGAAGAAGCAGAAGGAGAAGAAGAAAAGGAGAAGAGGAATAAGAAAATGAAGAAGATGAATAAGAAAATGAGGAAAAAGAAAAAGAAGAAAAAGAAGAAGATGAAGATGAAGTAGAAGAAGAACAAGAAGATGATGAAAAGAAGACGAAGAGAAATAAGAAAATGAAGAAGAAAAGATAGGAAATGAAGAAGAAAGTAAGAAAATGAAGAAGAAAAAGAAGAAAATGAGGAGGAAGAAGAAAAAAATGAAGAAGAAGAAGAAGAAGAAGAAGAAAAAGAAAAAGAAAAAGAAAAAGAAAAAGAAAAAGAAAAAGAAAAAGAAAAAGAAAAAGAAAAGAAAAAAAAGAAAAAGAAAAAGAAAAGAAGAAAAAGAGGAAGAAGAAAAAGAAAATGAAGAAGAAAAAGAAGAAGAAGAAGAAGGAACAGGTGTCCGCCAGAGAGCGTGCAGCAATTACTGTGGCGAATCGATAAGCTTGACATACTGAACACTTATTCAAGAATTTCGAAGCGCATTTTTTATTTCTGTTTTTCAAAAGAGTCTTCTGGATTATGCTTCGTCCAGAACAGTACAGGTTTAACTGAGTTATATATTCGTCTTTAATAGGGGGAGAGGGGGGGGTAGAAGGGAAGAGGAGGGAGAGGGGAGGAAGAGGGGTGGGTGGGAGTGGTGAAGAGAGGGAAGGAGGAAAAGAGGAAAGGGAGGAAGGAGGAAAAGAGGAAAGGGAGGAAGGAGGAAAAGAGGAAAGGGAGGAAGGAGGAAAAGAGGAAAGGGAGGAAGGAGGAAAAGAGGAAAGGGAGGAAGGAGGGAAAGAGGAAAGGGAAGAAGGAGGAAAAGAGGAAAGGGAGGAAGGAGGAAAAGAGGAAAGGGAGGAAGAGGGAAAAGAGGAAAGGGAGGAAGGAAGAAGGGACGGAGATGGAGAAGGTAGGGTGGGGGCAGGAAGGTATGGAAAGTGGGATAGAGGATGAGAGAACAAGAGGGGTAACCACACACACACGCGCGCGCGCACAGAGAGAGAGAGAGAGAGAGAGAGAGAGAGAGAGAGAGAGAGAGAGAGAGAGAGAGAGAGAGAGAGAGAGAGAGAGAGAGAATGTAAAAAGAAGAGATACTGGATACAAGAAAGTAGATATATGGAAACAGAAAAAAAAACATACACAATGCAGTTATATGAAACCAGATAATAACCAAAATAAGAGGAAGCAGAGAAAAGAAGCGAAACTGATATAAGAAGAAGAAAAAAGGAGGAAATTAGAAAAAAAATAGAAGAAAAATAGGAAGGAAAAGGGAAGAAAGGACAAGAAATAAGAAGAAAAAGGGAAGAAAGGACAAGAAATAGGAAGAAAAAATAATTCTTAGTTATATGAATGCATGATATAGAAAACGGTATCAAAGAGATCAGGATATTGTAATTTCCACTTTAGTGATTAAAAGCTTTGTAATATTCGGGTGAGTTATATCTCTATATGTCTGTTCCTGTTTATTGATCTAGTCTATTTAAGTGCGCGTGTGTGTTTATCTGTGTGTGTAAAATCTTCCTCTTTTATCCTTTCTCTCTACCTTTCCTTTTCCGGTATGCTAACTCCTCTCACCGTCCCTTAAATCACTTCTCCCTTCCCATTTTAAGCCCTACACATGGCCCCTTCCACTCCCCTCCCCCCCCTTCCCCCACCTTAAACTCCTCTACCTCCTTCCCTCTCTCTTCCATTCCCCTTTTTTCAATGAGTCTCTTCTCTTTTCCCCTTCTATTTCTTTATACCCTCCTCCTTTTCCTCTTTACGTTTCCTCCGTTTCTCCCCTCTTTCCTCTTCCCTATCTTCCTTTTCTCTTTAATTCCTATTCTACTCCCTTTCTCCCTTTCCCCCCTTTTCTTTCTCCTTCCCTTCTCACCTTTCTTCTTACGCCCCCCCTTCAGATAGTCGTGTAAATAATAAATGTGCATAAACTGACGAAAAACTACTTTAATGCTGTGTACTTGCCTTGAAGTCAGACACTGATAATAATACAAATAATAGTAACAATAATGATAGCAATAACTACAATGATAATAGCAATAATGATGATTATAGATTTAACATTGGATTCTCATAGATACATATGATACGCGTGCCTTTTTGTGCATGTGCGTCATTTCTAAATATTTATGTAGTTAATTATCACACCATTTTACACTAAAATGAATGTGATTTCAGATATAAGATGTCCTTTTTCATCAAAATGAAGAGACTCCAGGCACAAAATGTAAGTATAACGGATATATATATATATATATATATATATATATATATATATATATATATATATATATATATATATATATATATATATATATATATATATATATATATGCATATTCGTATGAGTTTTATTTTACAGCCATACATTCCACTACAGGACTCAATTCATTATTAAGAGGTTATAAGGCAGTATCATCCTTGCCTGATTGGATGCCCTTCATAATTAACCGCGGGTCGGCGCACTAGCACTAGTGCCACGGCGGTGACGTCCCCTACGACACCTGCGTTTGACTTCTCAAGGCGACATGTCGTTTTCTCGGGCTCGAGCCAGCAGTCAGAGCGCAGGCATTTTAACGAATGCCGCGGCGGGGAATTGAAATAGGGACCATGAAGGTCGGAGTCCAATGCTCTAACCACTGGACCATCGTGGCATGTATATGTATATATGTGTGTATATACATATTCATATATGTATACATTTGTATATGTGTACACACACGGACACACACACACAGACACACACACACACACATATATATGTATATATATATATATATATATATATATATATATATATATATATATATATATATATATATACTATATGTATATATACTATATGTATATATATATAGATATATATATATATATATATATATATATATATATATATATATATATATATATACATATATATATATATATATATAAATGTAAATATATGTGTATATATATAAATAAATATATATATATAAATATAAATATATGTGTATATATATATATATATATATATATATATATATATATATATATATATATATATATACATACATACATATATGTATATATATATATATATATATATATATATATATATATATATATATATATATATATATATATATATATATATATATATATATATACGGACACGCACGTGTTTGTCTGTATTATATAAATATGATATGTATCATGACCTTTCCCCCTGTCCACAGGCGATGGCACACTACTTGCGGCTGCATTGAAATCTCCACTTTTTCCTTTTTGGCCAAAATCATATCTTTTGAAATAACAATAATTTCACCTCATTTTGCTTTTGTCATAATAGCTCCCGAGCAAAAAGAAAGGCGTTTTATGATTTTGAAATATTTCACAAGTCTATAATCATCGCCGATATGACACTTTTTCCCAGAACAGAAAATAACAGTGTACCCTCCCCAAAAAAGATGAAAAAGGTGCAAAATAGAACAATTGACATAACACCGACGACGCTTGCTAAGACCAGTAATCTAAACTCACTATTAAATAAAACAAGAGCCTTTTAGCAAATCAAACCATATAATACTTAC